AACTTCATGATCAAGACGGAAACTGGCGGTGTTGTTGGCATCGACTTCGGTCATGCCTTTGGTTCCGCCACTCAGGTGGGTACTTTTAGTAGCTTGGGAGTTTGGTAATTGAGCGAGTGAGTTCTTGAATGACTTTTTCACGAATGGATGCTGTGTCTCTTCTTCATTGTGTCTTACTGGCTTAAACATTTAAAATACAATTTATGTTGGTGTACACTGAGTTGGGCTCTGTTTTACCTCTTGACAGAATATCTTAGTTCTGGTGTACTCGGTTTTGAAGAAAATGCTATCATTTGCCTATATACTACACATATGGGTGGAAAGTCAAAAAACTTTGAAGCTGTTTCAGTGTTTCTCAGTTTCAGTGTCAGCATAGTTACTGCGTTTTGCCTTTGTGGGGCAGTATAGTCCTGCTTTGGTTTTTATATAAGAGATTGATTATTCTCTTTCTGTCTAGTTGTTTTTATTTAACCTGCTAACTCTGTAAATGTATTTCTCCTCAGTTTCTCCCGGTGCCAGAGATGATGCCATTCCGTCTCACCCGGCAGTTCCTCAATCTAATGCAGCCCATGCATGAGACCGATTTAATCCACAGCATCATGGTCCATTCCCTCCGAGCCTACAGGGCTGACCCGGACTTGCTGCTCAACACCATGGATGTCTTTGTCAAGGAGCCCTCCCTGGACTGGAAGGTATGTCATAAAGCAGCTCTAGCATCACCCGGCCTTGAAATCTCAAATGTTAGTTATTGCCCTCTGAAGATTATCTCAGGGTTAGTGCATGACAAGCTTTTCTAAACACATGGCCGAGTAGGCAAAGAACCACCTGACGTGTAGTGGAATACGTTTAAGAATGGATAATGCACGGCTTGGTGTGCAGTAACCTGCTTAAACTGCAATTACTACATATTTGACGTACAAGTCTGTACTGAAAACTAGTAGAACTAGTTTCTTCTGCCAATGATTAAACGTTTCCCTTTAGTTTCTTTTAATTTTAGATTCTGTTCTAACTCTGGAATTTTTAGTGTTAGAAAATAAATTCTATTTTGTGCATTGACTTACGAGTGGCTGGTACCACATATGCACTTATAGAAAAGTAAACACCCAGTCAGATTCAGGAATTCTAAAATGCTGTGCTAAATATTTTTAGTGGGTGACACATATTTCATTAATATCCAGAACTTCGAGCTGAAGCAGTTGAAAAAAGGTGGTACTTGGACACAGACTGTTAACACCAAAGAGATCAATTGGTACCCTATGCAGAAGGTTAACATCGCCCGGAGAAAGCTGGAGGGAGCAAACCCAGCTGACATCACATGGTACTTTATTATTTTACCTGCTTTAATTACTAATTTTCATGAGTTTTGTGAACCAAGTTAAACAGATACTAATGTGTGGTTTATTTAAAAAGTGGTCTTCGGCAAATTGGGCCTCAATAATACGCTAGCTATAGCATACAAACTAGGGCTGCCACTAACTGCTTTTTCTATTGATTAATCTATTGACGATTGTATCGATTGGTCAGTTAATCTAAATGAGACATTTTCCTCCAGAAATTTGATAAAATTTTATTTTGACAACAACAAACTATGCTGTTACAAGGCTTTAGATAATGTGCGCCGGCTTTTTGGCACTATATGGACATTATTTTCACCCACAATTCAATAACTTTTTAAAAGATGCGTTGATTTAAAATTATTTATAAAATTAATTATATCTGACAGAATTTAGTGCACATTATAATCCTGATGCATTATCTAAGATCAATTCTGTGTCGCAGAATTATCATTCACTTTAGAAGTGGATAGAATGTGATTTTTTTTTTTTTCTTCCCTTGTCGTTTGTGCTTTAAAGTGAGGAACTGAAGTTGGGCTTTGAGAAGGCCTCCGCTTTCAAGGGCATGTTAGCAGTGGCGCAGGGGCAGGAGGAGCACAATGTCCGGGCCCGGGAACGAGGTGAAGAACTGTCTGTGGAGACCCAGGTGGACTGCCTGCTGGACCAAGCCACAGACCCTAACATCCTTGGCAGGGTGTGGAATGGCTGGGAACCCTGGATCTGAGCACTGTAAACACTGAAAGGCAAACCAACCAGTTTGAAGGCATTTTCCCCCTCTCACTTTCACATTGGTAACGGTTGTTTACTGTTTAATTTTGATGCTTTTTGGGAAATATGTATGCAAAGAATAATGTAAAAGGCTTTGTATAAACATTGCGGTAGTGAAATAATTCTGCTACAGGTAGGCAAGAATGTAATATTTCTGCTAAGACAGCAATTTCCAGTTAAAATCTGTTTCACCCAGCAATTAAAATTTTAGATAGGATTTTTTATTCTTGGAATGACATTCCAAGATACCTAGTATAGAGCCAATGAAAATTGTTCAGATTTACTTAATTTTTGTACCTGTTCTCTGCCTAAATAAAATATCAAACGACAGCATTGTCCTCCATTTCAGTTGTAATTCACCCAGTCTGAACACTTCACTTGTCTGGCTGTCTTCCTTTGTGTCATCTTGGTGGTTACTATTTGGTTACATACTTATTTTGGTTGCATATAAAATAATATAAAACTTAAAGCTGTTAACCATCAGAGGTGATTTTATTCCTGGGTTCAAATAGACTTCTCCCCTCCAGTACATTTCATATGAAAAAGCTCTATCTGTAAGAATTTCTCCACTAGTTTCATCATCTACTGTAGGTAGACTGAAACATTGTATCAACATCAATCTATCCTTTCATCCATGTTTTGAAACTGCATAGTCAATGTAGACTTGCTGAATGTCTGGAAGCACAAGACACAATGTACTGGACATCTGGAAAGAGATTCACATCATATGGCATACATAGTTAAGCACTAAGGTCAATTTATAGAGGGTCACCCATTAAAAGCACGCCTTGTACTGTGGGAGAAAGGTAGAATCCCTTTATGAAACTCATGTCAACATAGGGAGAATATCTATCATTCATATTCCAACTGCTTATCCTGACCCGGGTCGTGTAGGGGCCCCCAGAGCCTAACTAACAGCACACGGTATAAGACTGGGGTATATCCTACAAGCGATACCAGTCCATTACATGCCACGTGTTGAAAGCAACATAATCAAATTATTTGATTATGTGGCTTCAATTAACTGTAAATGGTAAGAATCAGGCTCTGGTTAAGTCCCTAAGTCCCTTCCGGAGACCAATCCCCGAGCCACACATCTGACATGGCTGAAGGCAGGGCCTGTGACTGCCTCCATCGGGTTTCCCATTAACTCCCTCAGTACTTTGAAGAATTTTAAATCCAGTGGAACTGATGGAGCGCCATAATGACCTGTCAACAGCCAACCACTCACCAGGCTTGATATTGTACCTTTTCAAAGTGTTTTTCAGCTAACCATTATAGTGGAGCTTTTCTGTCGTATGTTGGCCACCAACAGTTGACCATCTAAATCTTGTGATGACAAACTTCCTTCAAGCATCTGGATCGCATGACCAACCCAAAGAAGATGTCTTTTTGCTACAGTCACCTCTATTCCAGTAATATTCCAGTTTGCTGGTTATTGCTTTTGGAGACCCTGGGGCATAGTTGGCCAAAGGCCTCTGAGGCTTTAAGTGCAGGCATGGATATCATCATTAATCTGGAAAGATGCTGCCAAGATATAATGAATCAACAGCCTTGGGAGGCATGCTAGCTATAATGAACTGAGGAAGTTGAGTGACTAGAGAATGCTGTTGGATTCAGGGCAGGTCAACCTATTAGGCAACATAGGCAGCTACCTAAGGTACCATCTTCTGAAGCTGCGGTAACTTAGCAAACTGATTCAGAACTGGATACACTAATAACACTGTTTTCGTAAGCAAGAAGGATGCAATTATCTGCATATTGCAGTTTATGTGTAGTTGAAGATGTTACATTTGGTGCAAGCCTGCAACTGCTAGAAATTAAACTGACTACGATTGATATGGATCTGTAACTAAATATCTTCATCTACAGTATAGAGCAGGGATGGGCAAGCTTATCCAGAAAGGGTCATTGGGTTTGTGAGTTTTCGCTGCAACTCCCTAATTAGATTACTAATTAGAGGACTGACTGGCTGAAGAGTCCTCACACCTGGGTTGGAACAGCCCTTTGCGGATAAGATTGCTCACCTCTGATCTAGAGTGAGGCATTTGTGAAAGAGTGACTGCAGCATTAGACACATCCATCCACTACAGGCAGTTCAGGGACATGAATTTGCTCAGCCTCCTGTCTTTGGACTATGGGGACTTGGATACTCTGGAAATCTGCATGATACCAGAAGATAATGTTGTGTATTTTAACATTGATTTATGAAGCAATTTAATAGATAAATGTACTGATAAGTTCACTAGAAATGGCAGCAGACTCTTGGAAGGAGGTGAGTCCAAAGCTTGTAATGACCTGAGCCATGTAGCCTTGATATTCGCTGTTGGCAATGACATCTGCAGATGTTCTTATCGGCTAGGCAGCACCACAGATAGTAACCGTCTGATGCCATGGCAACAACATTATTACTGCATATTTTTCGTAATGCCAAATAGACTTAATCTGAATGTTATTTGTTAATCTTTTATTTAAAATGTGAACGGCAAAATAGTCATGTATTGCTGGAGCGAAGTTTCAATATATTAAAAGCTAGTTTAATTTATGGACAAACACAGAAACGCTCTTACGCATTTCAGTAATCCATCTGTTTTTCCATAACCATTTATCCAGCTCAGGATGAATGCAGACGTATCCGGGGAAGCACAGAGGAAAGGGCAGTAGACACCCTGGATGGGTTTACAGCCCTTATGCCACAAGGGGCGATTTAATTTTTTTTAAATTAATTTATAAAAGAAAAAACCTGAAGCAGTCAGGGGAAGCACTTGTGAACTGCCGACAGAGACCTGCAAACACCGCTAAACGCTGCAGATGTAATACATTTTATTATCACTCTAACAGTACTACATTTCCTGGAGTGAGGCTAACAAAAGTCCAAACGAGATTCATCCATCACGGTTTATTTCCGATGAGGATTACAGAATCCCCTAAAACGTGCGAGGAGGCCCACCTCCTACGGACTGGGGGGCGGGGGTGCAACGCAATAGTGTTCAGCTTAATAAGAATAATGAAATGATTAGTCGCATAAATTACTGTCAAACGGACACTTACGGAGAAGTCAGTTCTAAGAAAAAGACACGACACATTTGGCGTTTCATTCGAGGAGAGGTGGATTCTACATTAAAGTTAAGCTCCTCTCCGCGGTATGTAAATCGTCTTTGAAAATACAAGTTTGTGTGTTTGCATTATATTAGCTACATATTTTACATTTAGAATCAGATTTGTAAGTTCCGTTGAATATTTGCTTGGCTTTGCTTACGACATTCAATTTTTACCAATAACGTATTAAGGTGCACACTCGTATACAGAGCTTGGGATAAACATATTTTTTAGACTATTTCTCGACTTTATTAAATACTATTTTTCTGTCTCTGGGACCACCTTAATATGAAAAAAGACTAGACACAGCTTAATGCGGTAAAGCCATAAGGTCGGAGATAATTTCCAAGATAATAAAACTCACTTTTTAGGCTCACATATTGTATGACACCAAAATGCGACTAATGCGTTAAAGCACCCCTATTAAAATCTTGGTTTAATTGTTGTTGGTTTTTTTTTAGGAGCATTTCCTTTACCTGTTGCTCCAGATGATTAGTGTGAGTATACACTTTATTTTCCAAACCCCTGTTTACTACATTTTGATCCGATTTGTTGTCTTTTCTTTGCAGACAGGAATTTGAACCCTTCCGTATGACCACAACCTCAGTTGCTTTTGTATTGTAACCGAATGGCAGGCAAGGATGTCGCATCGGTTTTGTTCTTTGCTCATTGTTACTTCACATCTGCAGGTAAGCTGTCATTTACTAGCATGCAGAAGCTGCTAAGGTAACGTCACATACGACAAATATTTAATCTTTGCAGCTCTATAATTTTTTTTTATTTCTGGGATTAATAAAAAGACATCATCCCTAAAGGTGCCTTTCTTTTTCATTTCTTTAATCGTAATATTAACGCAAATATGACATTTGCAGACCTGTTGGATCAAATGATGACAAATTATCATCTTTCATTTTCCCCGGTGTGTCTTTTAACGTTTCTACTAGGCATGAAGTTTAAGGTTTGAGTGAGGCATTTATCTTTTTCAGTGGACTGAGTCTTTAACTGAAATCAAAAAAAGTTTATTATAATCTTAAATAATCTTGACAACATCTGGCATCCCTGTCATTTAAGTTTTCGATTGACCAGGAAATATAAAGAATTATTTGCTGTTTATAGCATTTATTTTTATTTTCTGTACCATGCTGTGTTTTTTTTTATTTTTTATCTCATCTGTATCTACATACCTACTGTAGGCTTACAAAGCAGAGATCTGTATCTACATACCTAGGCTTACAAAGCAGAGAGCAGATTATTGTTTAATCCAAGTTGAAACAACAGATGCTTTTTATCCAGATGCTTTGTTTGTATGATTGGAAAAGCAATGTCAACCATTTCCTGGAACTGTTAGGTTTAAGGCCCTTGTGCAGGGGCAAAATGGTGCTGTGCTGACTCTGGGATCTGAGCTGGCAACCTTCTGATCACAAGCACAGTGGTGATCTAACCTGTTGGGTCACATACCTCTCCCCAGTACCACTGGCTGTGTGTCCTCCAATCACTTAGCTTGGTAAAGGTCAAAAGGGGGACTTGGGTCGTTCCCAAGCAGCACTGGGACATAAGGCAGCAATGGTGTGTGGCATAGATGTGTTTGCAGGTATTGCCAGTACCTGTCACGAGCAGGTACCACGTGATATGGGGAAGGGAGCAAGGAATAGATTTAGGTACAAAAGTGAAAGTGGGTTTAGTAAAACAGTGGGGACACACTAAAACAAAACAAAGAAAAATGCTATTTTGTTGCTAACACAGGGGAAAACACAAGAAGCTAAAAAGGCAGGTTTTGGAAAAGACTACTGGAATTTGAAATGGAACTTAAGCTATGGCACCAGAATCTGGGCACTTGGTGAAGCCCGAGCCAGTTGTACAGAGACCAATTGTTTGATGACCATACTAAAAGAACTGTCTTTATTGTGACATAATTACTGAGGGTTACTGCCCGCTGTGCCATCAGTTTAAATAACAATTTTTAAATACACCTGTAAAGCTGCCTGATACTTCTGATGTGAAATGTCCGAATGCGTTTATACTCTAATAACAGCACTCATAGAAGACCTTTTGGCCAATCAAATTTCTTGGTCGAAACTAACTTTTGTATAATGTAGACTGATAGGATCCTTTTATATATAAAGCTGCTTGACCATTAAGTGATTCGATGCTGACTAGTTGGACCTTCTCTTCTGGCTCCCAAGCAATCCATGAGAAATTACAGGCTATCAATGTAACCCGCTTTCTTCCTGCAGGTCCATTATCATCAATGGCCTGTGAAATTTTGCCTGTGAAGGATGCACACCCTGTGCAAGCCCAGTGGCTGAGCTTCAGCACCTTATCCGGCTGTGCCAGCAGGGAGACCATAGGGCTCCCCCAGGAGGTGCATCTCATCACGCTGAGGCACAGGAGCCCCGAGGAGCCCACAGAACCCACTGATGTAAGATGCTCACTTGTAAAAGAGCCGACGCCTATGGAGATTAACTAAATGTGGTCAGTGTTTCTCAACCCAGTGCTCAGGAATCCCCAGACAGTCCATACTTCTTGCTCACAGTACATCTGTACCAGGTATTTGATGTTCTTGATTGTTTGGTTCAGATGTGCTGGGAGCTGGAAGCAGAATGTGGACTGACTGGAGGTCCCCAACGACTGGGTTGAGAAACACTGAATTAAGGAATATATGTAATGCCGAATATAGTTCATAAAACATTTCTGAAATGTTGGACGTTGCAACTTTAAAAGATTATTGCAGTAATTCATGATAAATGATTAATAATAATGGTTAATATGGCTGTATTGATTTTAACCTTTAAGCAATCAAGCAACTGAATGATTAGTTTAAGTTAAATACTGTTTCTCTTCACAAATTCAAGTAATGTTTGTGCCAGTAGAAATGTGCTGGTGACCATGTCAACGTTTTCAAATGACTGTAATAATTGCATGGGGGTTATTGAGGTCAGTGTGAAGAGACAGAGAAGATGAGAACAGCGCAGCTCATTTTCAGTTCACACCCAGAGAAAATTTTAAATATGTGGATTCTGGCTTGTGAAATCCTAATAAGGAGTTCTTTATAATCGAGAAAGGTCAGTACTCCACATGGAATCACACAATCTTTGCTGAAAGAGAAACATGACCAAATTAAATTTGCTGAATAGAATTTGCTCATCATTGCCACTCTTCTTCCAATGAATTAACTTTCTGTGACAGAGCTGCTAGCTGTCGTCTCTGTCCACTAGCCTTTTCCATTCTTAGATGATTCATGTATCAGCTCCAGGTGCTGGTGATGACTGGGCATCATCCCTGTGTCCCTATAACTGGCAGACGAACTTCAGTTATGTCTGTTACGGGGCAGCATGTAGCTCAGTGGGATAAGCCTCTGTGCCTGTGATCGGAAGGTCGCTATATAGATATACGTTTTCAACAATAAACAATGACAATAACAAATTAAGTAATATTTGTCTCATTCAGAGAGTGGTAGTATTTTTATGATGTTTGTCAAAAGAACAAGTAGGTATAACAGTCATTCCTGGAACAGTTGATGAGCAAAAAAATGTTGGACTAAAGCTGCAAAATAATAATAATAATAATAATAATAATAAAAACAAACAAATAAAAATGAAAGGACTACATGTTGCTGGATGTATAATTTTACTACATACTTTGCTGTCCTTTCACTTTAGTTAATGTTTTCCCTTTGCCCTTTGAAGGTTATTCTACATGTGAAGCCAATTCAGTCTTTGCTCATCCACCAGAAACCCCTGATATTCGTGCTCAGCTCCCCCTGGCCGGTGATGTGGAAATTGAGGGCTGAGAATCTGGCCCCCCATGTAAAGCGCACCCTGCACGTGAGCCTTCATCTTCACCTTTGCCTGTGCTTGTCTTCATCCTGCCTTCCTTCATAAAATGAATGCTTAAGTTACAAGACAAATTACTGTAACTGGTGTTCTCTTTTTCAGTATGTACAGTACCACTCAAACGTCTGAACACACCTGCTTTTAATGCATTTCTGTAGATTTTAGCTATTTAATTCACCTTATTATAAAAGGCCCTGAAGCCATGCAGTGATTCATATCAAATACTGGAATGACCAAGTGTTAGACGTCTCAGAATTGTAACAAATTTTAGACTCCCAAACTTTTAGACTTTTCACCCAGCTTCCAGATGTAGACACCTGGAATGCTTCTCCAACAGTCCTGAAAGTGTTTCCACCAGCTCTGGGCACAAGTTGGCTACCTTGCTCTTACTCTTCAATCCAACTTATCCTAAACCAGCTCTATAGGGTTTAGGTTACTGGCTCTTGGGGGCCAGACTATCTGCCACAGCACTCCATCTCTTTCCTTGTTCACAAAATAATCCTTACAACCTTCAGGTGTGCTTAGGGTCATTATCTTATTGAAAAACAAATGCAAAGTCTGTGATGCAACTCACAAAAAAATGTCCTTATAAAATTTCCTGCTTCACAATTTCCCGGTGACCCTTATTTAGGTTTATATCACAAAGTAAATAAAATTTGTGAACTGGTTCTATTTGAAATCATAGTTAATAAAAATCACAACTGCAATACAATTAAACAAAAATGATTACTTACTATCAGGATTCATGGCAGTTTAAATCTGAAGTCCAACTGTGCACGGCATTAACAGCAAAAGTGAAGCATGGCTCAACAAGTTTCTGTTTTTATTTTCTATCACTGTGTTTCTGCAGATATCAAAAAGATCAGAGGTTCTGTTTGAGGTGGGAAATTTTTCAGCTTTCAGCAACGTACTTGCAGAAAACTTGCCACGTGGCAAACAACGCCTTGTTACCTGGGCAAAGAGGAAGTACAAAGCGGTCACTTCCTTCTCTGAAATCAAAGCTGCCAAAAATATCTATATGAAAGTTGGTGAAGGTATGTTGGCCATACTTTTGGCAAAAAATTCTTTTTTTCTGTCCTACTGTAGCCGCAGGGGTTACATACCCCTGCTGTAGACTGAGATTAAATAGTTTGATTATCTGTAATTTAACATACTGTAGGAGGAAGTCCTGCTGTTTTCTGAGATGGATGAATTACGGTTAATGAGTGGATGGACTGTGTGCTGAGCTCTTGCCCTTATATCCAGTCTTTAAGGTTTTGAGGAAATAGTTCACAAAATAAAACTAAAACATTAAAACAATGATTATAATGTTAATATGATTAATGATTTTAGAGTTGGTAGGATATAACAGACTATGAAAAATATAACGTCCATATTCTTTCAGATTCCATGTCTTCCGAGACCTGCAAGATTGTGAAGAAATTCCGATCTCAAAACTGCCTGACTGGTTATCTACAGACATCCAAAGGCTGTGTTCTGCCATACCGAGCCCATAATCATGAAATCCACATCATCATATTACAGGCCCCAGACCCCAACAGGTAAACACAGCTTTTCTAGCTATTAACTGATAAATAAATAGTTCACAGACTACACCGAGATCACATAATGCCGGCCTTGTAGCAGATCCTTCAGTTGGCAGTTGGCTTCTAGTCTGCCAGCATAAGTGAAGGACGCCCCCTTGGGCTCAGCGGTGGAAAGTTCAGGTTCAGAATGTACAAATCCAGACCAAAATTTTGTTTCAACCAATAAGTTGAATATAAAGAGTCACAGTCACAGAGCACTCAAGTGGTTGGTTGAAACAAAACCTTGGTCTGGATTTGTACTCTCTGGACCTAAAATTTATTTTTTTTCCCCAACATATTTTTTTTTTCTACGGGGTATATATCTGTATTTTTTTCCTCTTTTTTTCAGTAGTACATTTCAAAAAGATGTGACTGTGGATATTAAAGTACTGGACAAAGATAAGCTCACTCACCATGATGTGGTACTCATCCTGAAGTGTGAGAAGCCAGTCCACTGGGTGATCCGATCTCGAGGCATCATGAGCAAGCTGAAAATCTTGGTAAACTGTAACATGCCCCATCTTTTTATTATCTGGGTTTCAGTTTCGGGGTTCCAATTACAGCTAAAATGCATTGACTAAGGAGGGGGGTGGGGGGGTTATCCAATGCACAGCACAAATAGGAACAGGGCATTCTGCATATGGTGCGTAATGGTAGACCCTAAAACATAAATGAGACAATGAAAAAATGCACGTGAATGGAAGCAGAAACATCAAACATGTCTTTCTTAGTTCTTCACCATATAGCCACAAGCTAGCCATTATGGTTGAAACAATGGACACCTCATCTTTTTTAAAATTCCAATAATCACATTTGCTTTTAATTGTCCTTTACTGTTTCCTATAATTTGGCAGCTATTTGTACATTCACAAACGAATTGCATTTGAAATGCTTGTTGTGGTGGTGATTGGATCCCTGGGTTGGGGACTCTGTGGCGCTGGTCCAAATCCCATGGCCGGCAGAGTGATGTTACAGCTGGGTCCTTTAGCAAGGCCCTTAACCCCTAATTGCTCCAGGGTCTGTCTGACCCTGTATTCTCAACTGTCCATGACTTTGGATAACAGCCATCTGCTAAATAAATGTATGCAATTAATATGATACTTTAACATATTAAAATTTCATCAAGTGCATTTGTTCAAAGCTACATATTGCACTATAATCTTACGCCCTGAGCTGACCTAAATCAGCCCCAGGCTACCTTGACAGGATAAGTGTTTGGAAGGTGGATGGATGTTTCAGTGTTCTCTTATCTGTTTTATCTTCTCTCATTAACGCTTGGTGTCCTCTACCTCTATCTCAGACCCCAGACAGTGTAACGCTGGATTCTGACACTGAAACGCTGATTTCCAAGATCAGCAGGCAGGATGTTCCTTCTCTACCCCAGCTCCTAATGCAGTGGGCTGAGGAGCATAACTACAGTCCCGTCACCTCATTCACTAGCACAGAAGTAGCCAATCACTTTACATTGTGGTTGAGGGAATTAGGTACGTATATGATAACATCTCAGTCTAAATGCTTCATAAATTGTAATAAAAAACTGCAAAAAAAATAATATTTAAATTAAAAATGCAATATATATTTTTAATATATATATAAAATAAAAAAAATATATTTTAAAGGTACTGAGTTAATGTTAATGAGTTAATTCCCCCAATGAATTCCCTGAATCAAGGGGGGGGGGGGGGGTTAATGAGTGATTTGTCACTTATAGATGAGGTTGCAGATCCTTTGAAGAGCACGTTAAGCCCACAGCTGGCTGTCCTTCACCGTTATGAACCCTACCCAAGCTCCGCCCCCCAGCATAGGGTACCGCATCTCTTCCTACCCGCATCTGTCAAGGAGAGACCTTGGCCTGCCGTGGATCACGAGGCCGCCTTCAGGGTTGGGCTGAGTGTGCTTTGTGAGGAGCACAGGATGGTGGTGATCATGGACAAAGAGGGCCTGCAGGTGACAGCCATGTGTTTTAATCTAGATGCCACTTATTAGGACAGCAATAAGTATCACGTTCATATTCTTATTCATATTGTAACCTGTTATGACTACTGTTTAATGAATACAAAAATGAAATATGCATAGAAAGCAATGCACGGTTGGAACAATTCTCACATACCTACAGTATATAATACAACAGTATATCTCCTCAATTACAAAATGTCATAATCAACGCTACACATTAAAAAGTTGTAGAACTAGCTGGATAACCATAACAATGGTATGATAACTATTTCATGTTTTTTATAATACTGCATAGTCTGTGAAATATCTCTTACCTGCTGGATCACATACTGTATTGTTGTTGATTGTTCCAAGGAGGCCAAAGCTGTCCATAGCATCTACAGTATGTCTTGACTTTCAACGCTAAGTTAGCTGCTGATCCTTTAGTTATAACCTTTGTTTTCTTCATATTGAGCCACAATCCCATCTCTTCACTGATCGTTATCTGTCCTTGGCTGCAGATCTTCTTCATTTCCGCTATAAGCATATCAAATATTAGTGATTTTTCTTGCACTTCATTTTCACTTTGAAATTGTCCATTTCCCAAACAATGTGTGTTTTGCTTGATCTTCCTGTCTCTCCCTCAGGCTAACGGGTATTCAAAGGTCAAACTTACTCTGCAGGATCCTGACTGTAATGCAAAGTCTAACGCTACTCACTACATCCTGGAAACACTCCTTACAGGTTGCCAAACCACCAAGTACCCTTTTTTCCCAAGCCCAGTGGTAATCTACTTTAACACAGTAAGTAAAAAAAAAGGCAATCTGCTTGTTTTTAGATCTGAGTATCTGAGTAATATAGGAAGCTTTGGGTCCTGTTCTTGACATGCTTGGATATAATCCTGGTACAGTATGTAAAATTTTGGCAGGTTTCTGTTCATATGGTACATTTTATGGACCCAGTAACACAGTTTTGGATAATGCTGGTTTTTTTGTCTCGCCGTGTATTTTTTAGAAGATGTGATGTTGTGAGGAATTTATCGTCTCTGAATATGTTATTTGAAAAAGAGTGTTGCATAGATACTTTTGTGGGAATAAAAGCTTTTCTGATACTGCACATCACATCACATCAGGTCCTTCTACACATTTCTCTCCTTTCGTGATTGGCAGATTCTTATTGGCCAGTTGCAGCCCGAGGGGGGAAGTGGCTGGCCATTTGATTATGAGGACATAACTACAGAACCCATGGAACCAATATTTTCCATCCTGGTAAGCTGGTAACCTCAGTTATCTTGAAATGAATGACAGCCCAGTGTAAGTGCTGTGCTGTGGTACTGTGTGATGGCCGGTATTTCATCTCTCCCATAGTTTAACTGCACATACAGAAACAACAAGGGGCCTTTAGCCCCATTTCCCTCTCATGGCCGCCACAAGGACCCTATGAACAACATAACATTCAACATGGAGCTTTACAACACAGACCTTTTCTACTACACATTACCTCAGCCCTTCCTCACCATCTCGGAAAACAAGCCCATCTTTGTGGAGGTAAGAGAGAGCAAAAAACAAAAATTAGTTTTGTTTTAAAATTGCCTGTTGTAGCTATATATGTTTTTTTTGGATAAATCACTGCACACTCCTCCGAACGCAAGGTCAGCCAGTACCCCTAGACAGCGACACATCTGGCGTGACACTCATGCTTTCAGACTCTCACACTCCCGCAAGAAATGTTACGGCAAATCTATAATGTTCCTTTATAAACCTAAAATTAGCTACATCAAAAGCCTTGTGTTAGTTTGCAAACCTTAGACTGGTTACGCCTTCCTAAAACTGTTGCATAAATGTAAATGAGTGTGCAGACTTGTCTGGAATTGAAAATCTCACACCAGTCAGCTGACCAAAGTTGGTGACACTGCCTAGAGCAGCTGGACTTATGGGTCTTGCTCAAGGGCCCAATGGGATGAACACTAAGCTTTTTTCAATGTAGCATATTTATGAGAAAGTAATCAGTATTGTCATGACTGCATATACTCAATATACATATTGTTGCTTGACTCAGCATATTGACTCAGTATCACATTTACATATACTGTCCATGCTGACATAATTTTTTGAATATATGGTAAAGGACAAAAATCAATTTGGTACAAACATTTCTGTCGCTAAGCTATACATTTTTTTTTTGATAAATCACTGCAAATGTGCTGTGAGGCATTTTGAATAGCAGATGTTAATTATGGAAATCATAAGCGTGTTCCTCATTGGCTTATGGATCTGTACCTGTGTCCGGATGGTAGTAGGTTCAAATCCCGTAAGTGTAAACATACCACCACTGGACCCTTGAGCAAGGCCCTTAACCACAAGGGATGCTGGCTGACCATTCTCTCTGACTCCATGCTGTCCTCACTAAAAAACATCTGCTAAATAAGTGTACCTAATCCACACTTAATTCTAACCAAATCTCCTAGCATTGTCTGTTCACAGGCTGGGGCAGTGTGGAGGGTAACACCCTTTTAGATATTGTGTATCATGTATTTAAGATCATAAAGGATATTTAATATTACATGCATTAATATTACATGGACTTTAACATCAGTGATTATGTGGAGGATATATGACCATGATGCAACACTTCTGTTTAAGTAAAATGGCCTGTTAAACAATGACATTCTGGACTGCGTATAGATTAAGATCTAAAATTATGGTCAAAACAGGATGCCTAGAAATACTTTTCTGAGTTTATGGTGACATCTTCAGGCACTAATTTAAACTGCAGTTTACTGCAGCGGTTACCCGTCAGTCTTACTGCTAACCCTGGTCAGGGTCACAGGTGCAGCGATAATGTTCGTCAGGGATCTAGAACTATGTAACTAAACATAACTTTTTGTTTTAATGCGTACATATTTGTATTTGTGTGAATATTTGTAACTGTGTTTCCCACATTTATGGTTAATTCATTCGATAGTAATGTTGTAGGATGGTGGGATATTAATGCATTTCTAGTTTTTATTTTAATTTTACATCTAGATTTTTCGTGTGTTTTGACAATTCATCTTGCTTGCATATACGTATACTTATATGAGACTCATTTAGTAAGTATCAGTGCTTTATTTAGTTCTATGGTAATGCAGGTACCCATGACTCTGACTGGGTTATGCAGTTATAAGATGGATGGTTATGAGGGTTGGCATGGTGTTCTGTGAAATGTAGGGATCTTAAAGGTGACCTTGTTACAGATGCGTTTGCCAGAATAAGCTTAGCCTCATTCTCTTGCAGGATGTTTAATCTTAAGCATGACCGTAGCATCACCATAGCATAGTTTTGTATTTTTAATAAAATATTTTTCTTTTCATCCCTCTGCCTAGGTTTCTGCCACCAAATCCGACCACGAGCTTGAGTTTATGATACAAACGTGTTTTATCTCGCCCAATTCGAACCCTAACATAGCATCGGAGTACACCCTCATTGAAAATATCTGCCCTACGGATGACTCTGTGCGGTATTACCCCCGACAACTGGAATTCCCTTTCCTACATGCGCAAACAGACAGAAAGAGGTTCAGCTTTAACTTCCGGTCGAAGTTCAACATGTCCCTGCTTTTCCTGCACTGTGAGATGTCCCTCTGCACCAAACGCCAGAGCAGTCATGGTCTGCCAAAGGTCAGCATCACTTTGTGATGCTTCTTTCTTTTTTTCTGTTTGCCTTGAAATAATCTCTCTATATGACAGATGTAGTTTTTATATATCGTAGTCAAGGGCAATGCTTACATGTGGACAGATGTGGATTGTTCAGGTCAAGAAACTAAAAATACAGACCAACATTTTGTTTTAACCAAACAGTTGAGCATAGAGTCACAGTCACAGAGTATTCAACTGGTTGAAACAAAATCTTGGACTGGATTTTTATTTTCTGGACCTGAACTATCCACCTTTGCATTTGGATTTTTTTGCATAAGCATGACTTTTATGTCATCGGTATACTTTGGCTGTAGTCTAGGGTGGACCTGGGAGGATTTTGGTGTGTGGAGCTATTATAACTGGCCTGTGCGACCATTAAAATAAAGTAAAAAATATCTGGTAAAGTTATGATGTTCTAATGTATGAAGCTAAAAAATATTTATATAAATTATTAATACATGTATAACTTAAATTTAACATGCAAAATGCACAGGTTGTATGATTTCTGCATGTATTTTGGAAAAAGGGAAAAGTAAAATTGAATGATTCTGTTATTGTGGCTTTCATAGGGTGTGAGTATAATCATTTGGCCCCTGCTGACATGGGGAAGCTCGGATTTGGCCCTTCACAGAAATAACTGCCCAGCTCTGATCTATGTAGATTCTGTATAAGAAATCTATGTTTGAATAATTTAAAATAAGGAATCTGTCATTGTGAAATTCGTCGTACAATGCACTGCACTGTAACTATAAAAAAATAATCCAATGCAAGCTGGAGGAAAAGCATGCACTGCATTTTAAGGTGTCCTGATCCTGGTCTAATCCTGCTCGCTTCTCAGTGTATACAGCCTGATGAGGCTTGTACCTCTGTCAACATGGATGTCATTATGGCTGTAATGACACCGAGCACCAAGACTTCCACCCGACCACTGGTGGTACTGTCAGACAACAAACCACAGGAGCCATCAGGTGAGAAGACTGGGAAGGGGGACAGACCCTTATTAATGTGACACATTACCAGTGAGTGCTAATCAAACTATAAAGATGCTTGACACAATCAAGGGTGAACTATACATACCATACATACACTGCCATTCAAAAGGATGGGGTCACTTAGAAATTTGCTTGTTTTCCATGAAAACATACATGAAATGAGTCTGAATAGGAAATACAGCTAAATAAATAGGAAATAGTGATTGACAAAGTTAGAAATAATCATTTTTGAAATTAAAATAATAAGTGTGTTCTTAAAACTTTGCTTTCGTCAAAGAGTCCTCCATTTGCAGCAACTACAGCCTTTTTAGACCTTGGGCATTCTAGATGTCAATTTGTTGAGGTAATCTGACGAGATTTCATCCCGCTCTTCCTGAAGCATTTCCCACAAGTTGGATGGGCACTTCTTACGTACCACTCGGTCAAGCTGCTCCCATAACAGCTCAGTACAGTTAAGATCAGGTGACTGTGCTGGTCACTCCATCATGCACAGAATACCAGCTGACTGCTTCTTCCCTAAATAGTTCTTGCAAAGTTTGGAGCTGTGTTTAGCTTTAGGACAAAATTGGCTCCAATTAAACGCCGTCTGCATGGTATGGCATGGCAATGCAAAATGGAATGGTAGCCTTCCTTCTTCAAGATCCCTTTCACCATGTATGAATCTCCCACTTACGATCACCAAATCAGCCCCAGACCATCACATTGCATCCACCATGCTTGACAGATGTCGTCAGGCACTCATCCAGTGTCTTTTCATTTGATCTGCATCTAACAAAATTTCTTCTTTGTGATCTGAAAACTTCAAACTTAGATTTGTCTATCCATCCTCTGTTCAGTGTCTGTGTTCATTTGCCCATCTCAGTCCTTTCTTTTTATTGGCCATTCTGAGATGCGGCTTTTTCTTTGCATTTCTGCCTTAGAAGGCCAGCATCCCAGAGTTGCCTCTTCACTGTTGATACTGAGGCTGGTCTTTTGCAGGTACTACTTAATGAAGCTGCCAGTTGAAGACCTATGAGGCGTCTGTTTCTCAAACTACACACTGTAATATATTTATTCTCTCGCTCAGTTGTGCACCTGGGCCTCCTTCTCCTCTTTCTGTTGTGGTTAGAGCCAGTTTGCGCTGCTCTGTAAAGGGAGTAGTACACAGCATTGTATGAGATCTTCAGTTTCTGGGCAATTTCGCACATAAAATAGCCGTCATTTCTCAGAAGAAGAATAGACTAATGAGTTTCAGAAGAAAGTTCTCTGTTTCTGACCATTTTGAGCTTGTAATCGAACCCACCATTGCTGATGCTCCAGATACTCAATTAGTCCAAAGAAGGCCAGTTTTATTGCTTCTTTAATCAGCCCACCAATTTTAATCTGTGCTAACAAATTGCATGGATTAGCAAGCACAACATTCCACTGGAACACAGGAGTAATTGATGCTGATAATGGGCCTCTGGCCACCTATGTAGAGATTCCATTAAAAACAGCCATTTCCAGCCATGATAGTCATTTACTACATTAACAATGTCTACTCAGTATTTCTGATCAATCTGATGTAATTCTAATGGACAAAAAAATGCTTTTTTTCAAAAGCAAGAACATTTCTAAATTACCCCAAACTTTTGAATAGTAGTGTATACCTTACCTATCTAGGGGGCAATTTATTTTATTTACTTTATCCTAAATGTATCAGTTTCCATTTAATCATAATGTCCTTTAAATAACTTCAGGTATTAAAAAGCATAAGACTATACTGCTTCTGTCATTGTTTCAGGACCGTCCACCCGGACATTTCTACAGGCTCCCCTCCAATCCAATAAAGAGTGTAAGTTCAGATGGGGAATATGGTTACAGAGGGTCTTATCACTTCTTTTCTTTTTTCTTTAACAATAAAGAAGCTAAATAGGGTAGAATAGTTATACAGTGATCCCCCGCTATATCGCGGTTCAGCTATCGCGCCCCACTATATCGCAGATTTTTCTCAGATGCATCACAGTTCTCTGCGATGTGTGTGTATATATATATATATATATATATATATATACACATTACATATTATTATTATTATTATGTTACTCATATCCTTAGCCCGACATACCCTTTTGTGTTTTAATAAGTTTACATGTGTTTAAAGTTTGTGGGAGGGGTATTTTAAGGCTTAAACTATAAAAAAATGTTTATTTATATGGTGTTTCTATATTTGTATCTTTCTACTGTTGTGACTGTGACTCTTTATACTCAACTAGCTGGTTGAAACAAAATTTTGGTCTGGATTTTTACTTTCTGGACTTGAAATATCCACTTCAGTTGATCACGCCAAAATGTTTGAATTATTTGCACTGTAACAATTAGCATTTAAGATGCATCTTAAAAATCAAGAGGAAATTATTGGATGTTGTCATAGGGTCTGATTGACCTCAGTCTCTCAGTACAGTTTTAAACTGTAATTTTGGCCAAAGTGTGGCTAAGATGCTATAAATTTATGCAATATATATACGGTACTTAATTTGAGGGAAGTGGCTTGGGAGACAAAAATTTCCATTGCAAAAAAGTTGACCTATTTTACTGGCACCACAATGAACTGTTAACATTTAATTTTGACCCGTAAAAATTATGTACCTTAATATGAATTGTGCAGGTGTTCAGCTGTATACACCATGTAAGCCTGTTCACTTCAGCTTTCTTTTTTGCAGATATAATGTATGTCCTGGATACTCCAGTGATGGTTGGAATCACTTTCGCAGCGTTTATCATCGGGGCTATTTTAACAGCAGCTTTGTGGTTCATTTACTCTCGCACAGGTAAGCCTGCTATTTTGCTTGTCTTTCTCACTATACAGCTGACCTCTTTCTGTATCAAATAACGAGCAGAAGGCCGCTCACTGTAAATGCTGTAAGGCGCCGTATTACAGTGCTGCATGCAGTACTGGGGTTGGTCATCCTGCTATGCTGGATTAGTGTGAAGGCTGGTTGACCCAATGCTAAAGCTAAAAACTACCACATGTTCTCATTTGACCTATTAATTTATTCAACTCCCAGAAGTGAAAAATTGCCCCCCTTTAGAGGTTCTGAGTGCCCCTTTCTGATCAACCAAGTCTTACCAACCAGCGATGATCAAGCTAAATTTTCTTCTGAATCCATTCCCTATATGCATCTTACCCCTGGGGTCTGAAGCTGAACTCACTCCTTTCAACATAACTTACTACATTTTGGGGCAGCGTGTGGCTTAGTGGGCTAAGCCTGTGTGTCTGTAATCAGTTCAAACCCAGCCTCAGCACATCTGCGGGTCCTTCAGCAAGGCCCTTAACCCCCAGCTCCCTGGGTGCTGCTATGGGCGGCTGCCCTTCGTGGACAGCTTACTCTACAAAAAAAGAGAGCAAGTTGAGGGAGGCATAAAAACAATTTCCCCACGGGGATTAATAAAGTATCAATTATTATTATTATTTTGCAGGTGTGGTCCATAGACAAAGTTATGTCCTTTTTTTACCCTATCAGGTTCTCTCTGTCTTGCAGGTGGTGGATAATTTGAGTGTGGTCAGTAGTTTCTACCCTGGATGACTTCTTGCTGCCCGGACCTTAATTAATACTTGTCTTAGCATTACCTACAGTATGTATATAAAGAATATATAAAAATAGAACTAATCTCTTTAAAGAATACATAATGTCTAGTGGTGTGTCTCTTTGGCTGCATATTTTAATAAAACTTGTGTGAAATTTTCATCATATTGTCGGGTTCTTTAGCCACACTTACGCCTTGGGATCCCTGGATGGCTCATGCCAAGGTGATGCACTGCGAACTGGCACTGCGAACTGGCCCTGGGAGATAACAGGAAATGGTCTCAAGCTGCTGGAGATCTTCCTGCCAGGAGTTCATACCCATGTATAACAGGCAGAGCACTGCTAATTCCCCATGAAAGCCCTTCAGACACTGTGATGTAACACTTTTAGTTGCTATTCACATAAAGAAAATAGTCTAGTATAGCACCTACCAGGGGCGCCGACAAAGGGGGAGAGTTGGGACCATTACAAAGGTGACAGGGGTCCTAAGAAATAGGAACATAATTGGCTTGGTCTGGGTTGGGGGCCCAGTATGATATGATTTCATGGGGCCTAAAATCTCTAGCAGCACCTCTGGCTTCTACTGTCATATTAATGTTATGAACCAATACTGAATAAGAATTAAAAAAAAAAAACCCAAAAAACTACTTTTTATTTCAATAATACTTTGATTTTTCTTATATTACAGTTTTCCTCCAAATGCTTTAACATTCAAAACATTTCTGATTTTTAACTCAGAAAATCAGAAATATATACCTATTGTTAACCTAGGCATCACATCACGGGTAAAGAAGGCAAAGGCAGGCATGGAAAAATCAAAAGGGGCTTTATTAAGCAAAACTACAAGCAGGTCAAAAGGAAAGGGACCACGGGGGGGAAGGATCAGACCAGAACACAGGGCAAACTGGAGAGCACACATAGGCAGCAACATCATGGACTGGGGAGCTCAAGACAGGGAGGCACTATATACATCACTAACGAGGGAGCAGAAGAGAGGCACCTGGGGTGATCCACACAAGGGATGTAACGAGAGGCATGATTAAACAAGTAACAGGTGCAGCTCGTTAGAGCTACACAACAGAGAGAACGAGGGGGAAGGGGTGCAGGGTGTGACACTAGACACTAGTAGATAAAATCCTACTTAATGTTGTCCTATCTTGTCACTATGGGGACTCAAAGCACTTGGTTAAAATACATTTTATTGACTTCCACATTCAACCGAACACAAGCCTGGCCACCCACAATGGGGCTGTCTACTTACAATGCTATTGTCTACCCACAATGCCAGGGTTTCTGAGACCAGGCGGTACCCCACACGAAAATGGTAACCTTTGGGACTTAGAACTACCTACGAGAGGGGTGACTCCAGGACAAGGTGGACAAAGGAGAGACTGAAATGTGGAGAAGTGAAGAAACCAGGAACCCAAACCATGACATGGGGACTAGGAAATGAGGCTGAGATTCCGGAACAGGTCTGGCAGCTCATCACAACTGAGCAAGAGAAGGAACCTGGAAACAAGATGGCAGCTCACCAACAGCATGATGCCGAAGACAAGACCCTGGATACTTAAAACTGCAAACCCAATAATGCTGGCTATTAAAACCCCAACTCTCAAAGAGACCCATTGTACCCGAGCCTTACATCTTGTGCGGCATGGGATAGGCTCCAGACCTCCCTGCGACCCTGACCAGAATAAGTATGAAATCTGTTGAATTCCATTAGAAAAACATTCAAAGATAGATTTGGGTTTGTGTACCTTAAATTTCCCAGATAGGTAACACAAACCTTACTCAGTCTCAAAATCAAAATACTGGTGCAGGTGTAACACATAAATTGTAAAGTGAAATGTATTTTAATGTCTCAAAATTTTATTACTTTTATTTTTGAAGAGCTTAGCTCTCAGAAGACTTAAAAATAAATAAAGTAATAACTGGAAGTTCATACATGCCTTTGACAATTAGATATCCCGGGACACCTTGTCCTCTGTGACTACAGAATAATTATGATAATATGCAATTATCACCTCACTTTTTTCAGCAGCAACCTCGAAGTGAAATAAGGGTGTTATTGCAAAGACTGAAGGAAAAAATAAAAGCAAAGCCAGGAAAATCCCCTTAAGCTGGAAATATCTGTGTTTTGATATATATTTTGTGTAGTTTACTCAATCAGTTATTGCAGTAATGCCAGATACAAAATCAGAGCCTATGGGGAGTTTATCTAAAGCACATGCCATGGGACTACATGAGGAACCCAAAGCAAAGCCAAGGAGGACATATAAACAGCACTGAAGGCAAGACGCAGGAACTGACCCCACAACCAGCGTGGCATCTTAACACTATGTCACATATACAGTACATATGACTTGCACGATATTTTCTATGCAAACATAGATACATTCTATTATATATTTTATGCTTGTTTTTCCATTTCAACTTATCCATATAAGCACCTTTAGATAAAAGACATTCTGTGGGATATTAGCCAAAATAATTACAGTATACATATTACAGTAATACAGAATTATATACAGTAATATATTACAGTAATATCAGTATTAATATACTATCTAATGCTGAATTTAAGTAAACTAATTTTTTGAACCAGGAGACTGAGTCAAAGTAATTGATGATTTCCTGATTACAAACAGTGAAATTTAATATAAAACGAGAAATGTCTGTTCTGCATTTGAACCCCTAACACCACAACAGATGGAGAAAAGCATGGAAGGTTTTACCTCTGAGGTGGTAACAGTGAAGCCACTCATTAACACTGAATTTACCACTTTGTTAGCAACGTGGCATCCTGGTGAGAGCAGCTAGTAGAATGACATATGCACCAGGCTTGCGTTTGTGGATCTGTGGAACTGGGTTCGTTTGCCATGGCACAGTAAAAAAAAAAACAACATCTTCATTTAATTCTGTAGTTGAAGGGATTTTATAAAAAAAACATAAAAAGTAAAATATAACAGATCTTTTTTCTCCATACATTTTAAGTGCACAACAGTAAGGCCCAAGTAAATTAAATAATAGATTGCCTCAATCTATTTTTTTCACTCATTCTGTGTATGTAGAAATTTGTTTATGTTTAAGCAATAACAGACATTCTGTACATGGCACAAATTAAATATGATTTTATTAATATTGTGTCTAGTAACTCCTGTATAGTTATACATGCATAATTTACTATAAATAAAATGTTAAGACATTTAAAAACGTAATTATAAAGTTTGAGTAATAGTGGGCTTTGGTTTACATTATTGATTGAAATGAAAACAATGGTTTTTTTCCATCCATCCATCCATTTTCTGAAATCCCAACCGGGGTCGCGGGGGGGACCGGAGCCTATCCCGGCAACAATGGGCGCAGGCAGGAACCAACCTGGCAGAAATTTTGGTTGGGGGGGGCAGAGAAGAGGGGTGGGTTTCTCCTACAGTCTACAGTCTTTGCAGTCTTCAGTGCATTACGGTCCAGACACACAGACGCATCATGTGATTGTTGCAGACTCCTCACCATTGTGTATAAGTCTGATTAGCATTACAGCATCGATCTGCACATTTCAGGAGTGTAACTTTTGGGAAATGCAGTCATTTGTTTAGAGACTGTAGAGCAGAGGAGAGAGCACCAGGCCCATAGCCAGAAAATTTCAAATGCAGAACATGTCCACAAAAAATCTCCACATGTAGGATACCGGGTGATACTGCAAGATATAGTGAAGGGTCATGTTAAATGCATCATCCACAGATCTATTGGCTCTATGCAAAATGAAAGTGGGTCCAGCTTTGAAAGCAGAATCTGGACTTGGGACTGTCCTATTTTTGTGCCTCCTCCTGTTCACAGCTTGTTAGTGCTGGTATGAGGGTGCAGGCAGGGTGAAGTGTGAATGGTAGGGGAATCCCAGGTAAGCGTTAAGCCTTTCAGATTCAGCCTTTAGTCATTAACCAAACGATGACCATCTATGAAGTGGGGGTTCTGCAGTTTGTAGCTTCCTACATGTTTCTCCACTCCAAAGATAGGTAGTTGGCTGACACCTGCATTCTCAGATTTGTAGAGTACCTTGCCTGCTCTGGTTCCCATCCACAGTCTGTACTTGGCAGTCTCAAAGAGGATATTATCCCCATTCCCATAGATTTTGTCTTTTTGGTCTGTGAAGTTGCCTGACTTCTACTGTAAATGAGGGAATGTCACTGTAAAGCTATGTTGTTGAGTTATGGTGGATATTTATGTCATGTTTGGTCTCTACATGCTGGGGATTCTGTCAGGGTAATCTCAAAAGAGTTAATATCTTATAGCCACTGTGATGTCTGTAAAAATGTTTTTGTGCTTCTGGGACCTGCATAGGGGTGGGAGAATGAACCACTCTGCTTGTTATTCCTGATAACACCAGCCAATCATATCAATTCACAGTGCAGATGACAGGATATGGTCTTTATTACAAAAAGAAGTATAATACCTTCAGGCCAGGTCTGGTTGGGAAGCGTGCACTGGTGCCATGCGTTGCCGCACACACCACATGATGAGACACCTCAGGATCCCAGGTGGCGAACCCCCAGGCAGACACATGGTCTAGTCCCACCCTCTGGAAATGGCCATCCATCTGATTCAGTCAGGTGTTATGTGGGCACCCCCTCAGACTTGTGCAGCTGCTCGGGGGTGCATTTCCTGAACAAAAACGGAAGTTAGCATTAAAATCATTGTACTATGTTAGTTCAAACTAACTGGCATCTGAAGTATGACTGTTTTCCAAATCCGTTGTAATCTGTTAGTACTGTACCACAGTAGTTTGAATCACGTTAGCTCGAATCACCGTAGTTCGACTACAATGGTTCTGGAGGCAAGTCGTGTGCAAAAACGCACAAACTTTGTAATATTATTCAATATTAAATACGACAGCTGTGCTGATATTACATTATTAATTTATTGTGTTAGTCATATACTGTAACAGCAATAGTAATATTAATAACTCAAAAATAGCAATTGTGTCATAATAATAATAATAATAATAATATGATACTTGTATGATGCTACACAGCTTAATGACAGTGAACATTTGTTTGAACTATGGATTCATGAAATACCTGCATCGTACTTGTGTAGTTCCAACCACGCAAGTTGCTAGCATAATTAGCACCTATGCTTTTGGTAAACACCGCAACAACCCCAGATCACCTGCAGGGAATCGTGCCGCACGGCTATAGTGCTGTAAATGATGCTCCTTCACAATGCAGGTAATGTTCCTCATTCAGGACTCTGCTAGCAACTGCTCGTTCGACACAAAGTCAAGCCAGTTGTACCCAAGGATTCCCCGAAGAGACACAGTGCCAAAAGGAGTCCAGTCTTCATCTTAGCTCACTCAATAGCATCTCACAGCCATACAGCAAGTCAGGGAGCACCGTGACTCCAAATACTTGGACCTTCCTCCTCTTACAAAGATATTGGGTGTGCCACACACCCCTATCCAGCAACTTCATGACCCCCATACTCTCCCAGTTCATCTACTGACTTCATAGGAAGAGTCACCAGAGACATCAATGTTGCTGCCAAGGTAAGTAAACCTCTTGATGAAGTCGACATTCTCCCCACAGACAGACACACTACTGATGGCTGTGCTGAGGAAGTCATTACAGGCCTGGGTCATAATTTTTACTGAGGACACTCGCAAGCCCAGATACTCAAACTCCTTGCTCAGTCTCTCCAGAGCCCCGATCAGAAGCTCCATTGACTATGCAAAGATCACAGCATCGTCATCAAGATCAGTGAATCTTTCCTCATCAACAGATGTCCCACAGCCGCTGGACCCCACGACCCTGCCCAACAACGAGTCCATGCAAGCACTGAAAACAGCAGGAACAGGAACACACCTTTGACGAATCCCAGAATCAAGTGGGATGAATGCAGAGGTTCTCCCTCCACTGTGCACAGCACTCATCATACCAGTGTACAGGTGTCCAGCAACTTCGGCGAGATCCAATGAAATCTCAGGATGTCCCACAGGGCAGCTCGATTAACTGAGACAAATGCTTTAGGAAAACCGACAAAGACTGCAAAAAACCTCTGCCGATATTCATATTTGCACTCAATGAGAACCCTCAGTACCAGGATGTGGTCGATGGTAGACTTACACATAAAACCAGACTGCTGGTAGGCGAGCAACTGATCACAGATCCTGTTAAGAATGACCCTAGCAAGGACCTTATCCAGTACTGAGAGGAGTGTTATCCCCCTGTAGTTGCTGCAATCCACGCAATCACCCTTCCCTTTAAAAATAGGGACAAGTCTCATTTTCAGTCAGTTGGGATGATGACCATCTCCCAAATGGAGGCAAGGTTGTCTGCAATGCCTGGAGGACAGCCTTACCACCAGATACCACCGGTTGCCAAGAAGTTGTATGCTGTGACTCCTCTTGGAAATATCCAGGAGGCCCTGCGAGATAAAACACCTCCTTCTGAGAGCACCAGCAAGACCAACACAACCCTCAGCAGCCACATCACATTAATGTCAGCAGTTGCACCAGGTCAGGTCAGGTTGGGGAACATGGGCTGATGCAGTGCGTTGCTGCTCTCACCATATGGTGAAACTCATCAGGATCCCGGCTGGCGACCCCCCAGGTAAATACACAATCCAGTCCCACCCTCCGGAAATGGCCATCCATCTGCTGCAGCCAGGTATTACCTGGGCATCCGACTTAGCCTGGTCTAGCCACTTGGATCCCCAGCAATGAGGATCCTGCAAGACGGATCACCCTCAGGGAAACGCGCCACATGGCCATTGTGCCGCAAATGATGCAGGTAATGTGCCTCATTTAGGACTCTTCTAGCAACCGCTTGTTTGACACAAAGTCAAAGCAGTGGTACCCATGGATTCTGTGACGCAGTACCGATGGAGTTCAGTTTTCATCTCAGTTCACTGGATAGCGTTCATGTCTCACAGCTATACAGAAAAACAGGAAGCAAAAACTTGGACCTTTCTCCTCTTGCAAAGATATCGGGAGCACCACACACCCCTTTCAAGCGACCTCATGGCCACCCATGCTTTTCCAATTCATCTGCTGACTTCATAGGAAGAGTCACCAGAGACATGAATGTTGCTGCCGAGGTAAGTAAATCTCTTAACAAGTGTTGCGTTTCCCAAAACCATCATTGCTAACTACGTTAGCAACTTGCCTGGTTCGAACTATGTAAGTACAACGCAGGTGTTTCCCAAAACCATAGTTTGAACTACAGAAGTAACGATACTGCGGACTTACATAGTACGATGCATCGTTAAACAACGCAGGTGTTTCCCGAAACCATAGTTCAGACTACAGAAGTAACGATACTGCGGACTTACGTGGCACAATGCATCGTTAAACGATGCAGGTGTTTCCTGTAACCATAGTTCGAACGAACGTTCGCAAACACTGCCGTTAAGTTGTAGTTCATATTATTGGTGTTATGTGACTGACACAATAAATTGATGAGATATATATATATATATATATATCAATAATGTGTGATTATTG